TCAATATTGTTAGTTTGTTACATTATCTTACCAGTTATTATCATTATGAGAAGCTTAGACAGCAAGCTCCTTGCCTATATAATGAAGCACAACAATACTAACAATCACTCAAATAGTAACCAAACCAAACAAACATGTACACATGTACATACAAGAGCCTATACTTAAGTGATATAATCAAGCTACATATGTATAAAGGCCTTTTCACACTGGCACAAGTAATGCGCATTGATGTACCAACAAAGCTCATCAAAGTGCTTTGAAAACAGTGCCAGTGTGAAAAGGCCTTAAGTCTATGGTTTTTGAATTCTAAGCCACTTTAAAAACTGACTTAACTCAACTTCCTACACCACATAAGATTTAAAGGTAATAAAAATGAAGAATTCCTACACTGCAGCTATTTTGATTATGACCAGAAACTATGGTCATTGGTCAAATTTTTAAGCAAATAAATTTCTCTGCCCTAATTCTTCGTAAATGGACAGGAAAAATTGCTTTTGCTGATTTTATTTTTGTGACTGCACCTTGGCCAAGTAGGCCTGGCTAGTAAATTTTTAGAGTTGAAATTTCACAAAATTCTCAAAATTAGCAGAAATTTTGGGCCAATATTCTTAAGCTAGAATAAATATACTTGTTGCTCAAAAAAGGACACTGGGCAACAGTGTAATGCCTTATCAATTGGCTATACCTAGTGTAGTGCAATAAGTGCATAAATTACATTATTATTATTACCTGATACACTTCTGATAATATTCCACTCAATGGAAAATATTTATTAAACTGTGAATAGATAATAAACTGAATAAACTAATGAGAAAGAAAAGAACTATGTCATACATGTACAAAAAATATCAGAGAGATAGAGAAAGAGAGGGGGGGGAAAAGAAGAGAGAATATCCATACTTGTCTTTCACATATGATGGCTATAAACTCAAATGTCAAAGTAATAAAGTACCCTGGCCATAGACCGTGCCACAGTGCAAGAAATATAATCGTAATAAAATGAGACAACATTTTATTTTGTAGCCACTTCAGCCTTTTAAATACATACCTACAATGTACGTGAATTTAACACAAAACAATAAATAAATTCAGCTCAGGTGAAAGATTGTTTTACTAACATTGATGCCCATTTGTTGGTCTGTATGTTAAAAGATTCAATAGTTCCCTAGAAAGAGAGAGGGTGGGTAAGGATTTAAGGGAAGGCAAAAATTTCAATTTTTAGAAATAATACCATAGCAGGAATTTTTAGTAACACTAAAATATTGGTGATTCTATAATACAATGTATGTATTGGTGGTTTAATATTGGCAATTTGCCAACCACAGTCATTAAGCATGCATGTTCAGAATAAAGCAAAATATTCATGTACATGCTTTTGCAAACTTAATTGGCACCAATTCACTAATTGCAAAATATAACTGTCAATTTTCCTTCCATACAGTATGTACTACCATAATAGTATAAAGGGTTTCCCAACCACAAGAATGCCATGCTAGCTAACAGCATTCTTCATTTGCTGACACACATTACAATCCAGTATATGGCATTTGAAGTAATTTTAAACATTTAATTTTGATCAAAATCAGCTCTCTAAATTTATATGTAATATACAAGTAAGTACATGTATACAAACGTATGTACCATGCAGAATTCTCTCCTTTGCATTTTTTGACAAAATTTGGCTAAAAACAACTTAAAAGTTATAGCTGTTGGTTGTTGGTCCAATTTTCGAGCAACTTTTTGAATTAAAAAAATCAAAATTTGATCAGAGTCAGTTAAAATTTCTATATAAACGTAGGACATGCACATGTATCAGAAAAATGATAAAAAGAGAATTCTCTCCTAGCCATTTTAGATGAAATTTGGTAAGACTAAAGAGCTTTTGGTTGCTGGCCAAATTTTGAGCAACTTTAAAATTTAAATTTAAATGGAATCAGTTCAAAGTCGAGGACATGTACATGTACACACACATGTACATGAGTAACATTAC